ATTAGCTTATCACGTGACATATTTTCCGCCTAACTAATAACTCCGTGGGACACCCGTAACATTATTCAGACTGATAAACGATCTATAATAATTTCAAATTCAATAATAGTCCCTTACTTCATGAATCGCATCATTATTAATTCGGTAAATTACATTTAATATCATATAGGCCTAGTTCGCAATCTCTCGCTATGAGCAGGCAGCGCTCTTTTCCCTCCCACGACCTTGAACGCTCAGTGTAGAACATTCGAAATTACTCTGAAATTTCTGAGTATTACATATATATATAAATATAAATATATATATATATATATATATATATATATATATATATATATATATATATATATATACATATATATAAATATATAAATATATATATATATATATATATATATATACATATATATATATACATATATATATATATATATATATATATATATATATATATATATATATATATATTTCATTAGCCAATAAAGCACGCGGACTTACATACAATCACCTCAACCCAAGAACCCACGGCCCACAGAGCCCATGACTGGACCGAGTTACTCTGACCAATCTACGTAGTCCACATTAGAGGTTCACGGCGCCATAAGCTCGTTCAACAGGCTTTTAGTGAAATATAACAGTCTAGGACTGCTTTTAGTATCCTGGTTGTCCAGGTAGCGTTCCACGGTCACAGTCAAGGTTCTCGTGAGCCGTGGGTTCGAACCCTGGCAGGGCTGACTGTGACTGGGAACGCTAACCGCTGACCACCAGGTTATATATATATATATATATATATATATATATATATATATATATATAATATATACAGTATATATATATATATATATATATATATATATATATATATATATATATATATATATATAATATATATATATATGTATACAGAAATAGAAAAATTAATACAGATTAAGAGCGAGAAACGAGAAACGATATATGGTACTGTATGTTGTGTTGTCAAAGTAAAAGAAATCATGGACCCTGTAATTAGATCACCAACCTGGGACTTGGACACACCATGATGATACAGGTCATCACCCACATGGGGGGCGAAACAATAACAATAAAAAGAAATTAAAAATAGAAAAAGGAAAAGGTTATATTAATCTCCAAACGATTCCACAGTTTGGTTATGTGAGGAAAGAGGGGATGTATTCTAGTGCAGTGGTTCCCAAACTAGGGGGCGTAAGGTGGGTACAGGGGAGGTGTGAAGCCATCTGCCAAAATTTGCTATTTTTTGCTCAAAAAGAATATAATGAAAAAGCTCTTTCAGGAGTAACTCTCTCCGTTTGAATCTTTCACACATCCGCGCAAAACCAAAGCAGTCACCCCTATCCGTTTTCTATCATTTCATATCTCTCTCCTTACGTGTCTTGTACATGTCATGGATACCATACTGACTCACACACTACTCCTATCTTTCACAACACTACCAGCCACCGATCCTCCCTCATCTTCAGTTACGGTATGTTAAGATTGATCTCAAACTGTATGTTTTAGTCTGGATTTCTTCTCTTTTAATGATTTTTTAATTAATTCTGCTTATGTAAGGGAAATGGCGTGAGGACTTCGCAAAAATTAAAAGGAAACGTCATGTTACAAAGTTTGGGAACCACTGCTCTAGTGTGACCGACATCCTCAGAAAAATGGTTGGCACCGCGGGCAAGACGTGTGTTACGAGCCCAAGGACTTGCCGGCGGTACAAAGGATGCCAAATCCACCGAACATTGCCTGTTAAAGAGAGAGAGTGAAACAACACTGCGGCGAAGAGAAAGGCAAGAAAGATTGTCAACTAAAGGAGGAGAGTGAATAAAACAAAATGCCTTTGATTCCACCCTATCTAACAGTTGGACAGAAGAATATCCACCCCAGGTATGAGAGCAGTACTTCAAGTTAGGACGAATGAATCCCTTACAGTATAAACTTGAAGCAACTGCTCAGGAGTGAAGTACCTACGGCATCTGTACAGCATTCCCAGCTTTTGGGAGGCAGCTTTAGCAGTGTTGAGGATGTGTGGCTACTATGGCAAATTAGAGGAAACAGTGAGGCCAAGCGTATCTATTTTAGAATTTAGCAAAATGATAGCATCCTGAAATGAGATTGGTGGGAGATCATCTAATTTAGAAAGTGTAATTGGTAAATACTGTGTTTTATTACTATTGAATTTAACCAAGTTTCTACCCCCCCCCTCCTATTCGGAGATGCTGCACAGATCCGAATTGATAGAGATGTAATAATATCTAATATCAGCTCTAGAAAAAGATCTAGTTTGAGAGTTAGGGGGGAATGGGAAAATGTGAAGAAGAGTGAAGAGTAGAATCATCAGCGTACTACCTATTACCTCTTTTGTGGATTTAGGTAAAAAATCACCCTTTATTTATATTGAAATGCGAGGAAACTTGGTTTCCTCCACCTGTTGGATGGGGGGAAATATTTGCAGTCATCCACAAATATGTACCGGGTATGTAAATAATATACGTTTTTCTTCATATATTCAGTACTGGTACACAAGTAATATACTGTGAACTAAAGACCGCCACGGGAGTAACAGTTGCTATCCCGGTGTGTTAACAACTAAGAGGAACATGTTTGTTAAATGTCTTAGCATCAAGATCTAAGTTTTATCCACAGAACTTGCTGTTCACTGGTCATAGGAGTGGAGTTTAAGAAATTTAAGATATTAAGCTTAATAAATCAAGGGGATACTTGTTGAACAGATTAGAGGCACACAGGAAGATGTTGATTGAATGACTAGAAAGATTTTAGAAATTATTTCCGTCTTCATTTTTGCATGGTTTTCTTGCCGAGAAAAGAAGAATGTAAAGATAACTACATTAAAAATTTACATATCAACCACTTCCCTAAACTTGTCAATTCCTTTTCTCTGTTTCCTAGAAGAAAAACGTAGAAGCCTTAGAGACAGTCTTGAATTGTACACTTTTTTAATTTGATTATTGGAAAAGATTTTCTCCAGTTTCATTACGTCTTGCTAATACTAACATTTACATGGGTGTCGCTGTATAGAATGCCCTACACGGAGGCGGTCATACACGAGACCCTACGTAAGTCGTCACTAGCAGCTACAGGGGTCCAGCATGTAGCTACCAGAGACACTCAGCTGGGCGGCTACTACATCCCTAAGGTTGGTAGCCCTTCTCTATTATATTACTCAGTTGCAAATTATCACTTGGGCCTCATGCTTTGAAGCATCGACATCTTACTCGTTGTAGTCAACAACAGGTGAAATATTTTTCTATGAATCATTATATACAATATAAGTTGTAACTTATTTCATGGAATAATATTATGAGGGGATGTCTTACAGGGCACTATTGTTATGGGAGCACAAGAGACCGTACATCACGACCTTCGGTACTGGGACCGTCCTGACGAGTTCCTGCCGGAGAGATGGCTCGATCAACAGGGGAAGTTCACCACCAAGAAAGAAGGTTTTCTACCTTTCGGTGTGGGTAAGTTAACACAATTATGGAAAACTGGTGCTATGAAGACTTTCCTCATTTGAAAATGTTACAAACTTGTCTAAAGTTGTAAGTAGTCGTCATTTTGTGTACAGCAGAGCTCTTTGGAGTAACTCTTTAAACGTTTAGTGAAGTGTAATCTTAATTCACCTACGGCACCTCTGTATTCGAAGATTTGTCACTGTGTGAGCCAATGCCGTTGTGATGTATCGATGCTCCCGTTGCTCGAATTTTCCACATTGGCTGAAACCCTTATACTTTGTTTTATATTTTGTGTAATTAAACAAAATGTACTTCATGCTAATTGTATCCCATAATGAATACAACTTAACTGATCTTTCTCTAAGGATCAAGGTCAACAGCAGCTAACACAGTAGAGAAATTGGATAGTCTCCTGTGAACTTTTGATAAGAACAAGGAGGACCTTCATTATCATATGTTGTGAAAACGTTGAAGACACGTTAAACATTTCTTCCAAGGTGTTTACATGTTTTTAGGATTGTATCTGGAAAATATTAATATATGTCGTCATTATGTGCATGTAAACACACACACACACACACACACACACACAAATCCCATATGCTGACCTACATCTAAGCTCATTAACAAAGTATACATAGCTTTAAGTCCATCGACCAGTCATTACACCAGATAAAGTTGAGATCAGTAAATATTCTCAATACCTCTTTCCTCCGAGAAGCTATGACGTTTGAGCTCATTAAAGACAATAGATTCTTCTACCAATTTAGTTATGAGCTTACAGGCCTTACATGTAGTTGTTCAAACTCAATAATAACATTATAACGTCAACGAGTATTGTAGTACATGTTCGGGAGTTGAGGGCACAAGCTAGAAGTGTAGCATGGTCACCTCTCAGAAGTATTGTGCACTACCCTAAGAGTAAATACTGTAATGACTGGGGAAACTGGCCGTTTAGGTGTGTTCGCTGGCATATGTAAAAGCAACCTTCGAGTGGAAGATGTCCGTGTCAGTTATTCTTAGAAGCTTGATTTATCGTCTTTGTTTTAGCTAATTTTCCAAATTACCAATCCAATACAACCAATAAGCATGATCTATATTATTTCACATGCAAAAATTTCTGCCAGGTAAACGCTCTTGTCTGGGCGAGGCTCTGGCGCGCATGGAGTTGTTCATCTTTTCCACTACGGTATTCCAGAGCCTTACCTTCTCTCAACCACCTGGCAAGAGGATTGATCTTCGTTATAATCCAAAAGCTATCTTCACCCACAACCCCAAGATTCAGGATGTCCTGATCACTGTCCGGCCAGGATTCTAAAGGAAATAATATACACCAAAGTTTTTTACTTTTGTTAGTTATACCAGTATTTTGAGTATTATTCCCTTACAGCCTCCCACACTTCCACTTGCTTTAGTCTGCATTGTCAGTCCTCGTCTCCCATCCCCGTTGCCGTCTAACCCTCTTTAACCCCCCCCCCCCGTACTAGCCCGTGTCTAGTTTCTTCCTATCTCCCTCCTAAACCTAAACTTATCCAACTTGAATCCGTTGCTCCGAGTCCTATCCTGCTCGGATATTATAAGAACTTTATCTATATCCCCTTTGTTGATTCCTTTCACCCACTTAAATACTTCTATCATATCTCCCCGCACTCTTCGTCTTTCTAGGGAATGCAAGTTAAGTTTCTTTAACCTGTCCTGATATGGAAGGTTTCTAAGTCCCGGAATCATTTTTGTCATTCTTCGCTGCACCGACTCTAGTGAATTTATATCCATTCTATAATAGGGGCACCAGAACTGAACCGCATAATCGAGGTGCGGCCTAACTAGCGCAAGATATAGTTGCAATAAGACCTTTGCACTCTTGTTACTTACACTTCTAGATATAAAACCCAATACTCTGTTTGCCTTATTTCGAACATTAACGCACTGTTTTCTAGGCCGTAGGTCCGGGCTTACAAGTACCCCTAGGTCTCTTTCACAAGTCGACTTCTCTAGGTTGATGTTGTTCAGGCTGTATACATTATAAGTATTTGTTCTTCCAATATTAAGTACGCTGCACTTGCTGGTGTTGAATTTCATTTGCTATTTTTCAGACCACCCCTGCAGTTTATTTAGATCCTCCTGTAATGCATTTGCATCCTGCCCTGAATTAATTTGCCGCCCTATTTTGGTGTCATCCGCAAACTTGCTTATGTCACTGCTGATCCCAGTATCTAAATCGTTTATGTAGATTATGAACAAGAGTGGGCCTAGTACTGACCCCTGGGGAACCCCACTGGTTACACGGCCCCACTCAGATTTAACACCATCTACGCTGACCTCTGCGTTCTATCGGTGAGCCATGATTTTATCCAATTTAAAACTTTCCCCTCGATACCATGAGCCTTAATTTTTCTCAGAAGCCTCTGATGCGGTACTCTGTCAAATGCTTTGCTAAAGTCTAAGTAAATAACATCGTAATTTTCGTCATTATCTACTACCTCGAAGACTTTCCTAAAAAACGTTAGCAGATTTGTTAGACAAGATTTTCCCTTTGTAAACCCATGTTGAGAGTCGTAGATTAATTTGCTTTTCTCTAGATGCGATCGGATGCTATCTGCTATAATTGATTCAAGAAATTTCCCCACTACTGACGTCAAACTGATCGGCCGGTAATTTGACGCTGATGCTCTGTCTCCCTTTTTAAATATGGGTACTACATTCGCCTGTTTCCACAACTCTGGCACAACTCCAGTGTCTAATGATTTTGTAAAAAAATTTACGAGGGGTCCGCTAATCTGTTCCCTAAACTCTTTTAAGACTCGAGGAAAAATTTCATCCGGCCCTGGGGATTTTGTGTTCTTTAGTTTATTTATCTTCTTAAGAACATCCTCTTTTCTGATGGTGATATTCTTTAATTTCTCTTCTTCCTTTCCCTTAAATATCAGTTCCACCTCCGGAATTTCATCGCAAATTTCTTCTGTGAAAACTGATAAGAAGTAGCTGTTCAATGCTTTGCTCATGTCTTCACTGCCATTTATCAATTCTCCCCTCCCTGACTTTAAAGGCCCAACTTTGTCCTTGACCTTTGTCCTATATACCTGGAAAAATCCCTTGGGATTCGCCTTGGATTCTCTTGCTATTTTGATTTCATAGTCTCTCTTTGCTTTCCTTACATTTTTCTTAACATTCCTAGATAGTTCATTATACCTGTTTCTGAGCTGCTCCTCCCCTCCCTTTAATTTCTTATATATTCCTATACTGACACAACTTCTGCAGTAAACACTCAAGTGGCCTGGGTCAAGTTAATTACCACATATGTACTAAAATGTACTAAAATGTAAATTGAACTGTACTATTAGAATGAACAAAGTGGATAGAACAACACTCACGAACAAGTCTCTGAAATTATAACATGTTCTTCAGCCAAACACACACACACACACTCTTTACCACAACAATCACTTAACAAGAAAATACGCATCTCTGAAAATAATACACTATTACATCTCATCACACCACACAACCAATGTTTTTTTTATTTTCTTATCAGAGAATATTTATTTCTTTAAGACAAATAACCTGAAGTGAAATGAACGAGAAAGAGAATTTTTTTGGTGTTAAGATTTGAGGATATTCGCTCATGGTTAAATTACAAGTACGAATATATGCATAGTATAGAATTACAGGTATATATGAATATAATTTAATTACAGGTATATATGTACTCAGTAGATAATGTAATTAGAGGCAAATAAGTAGAAGTAAAATAAATTTAAATATCTATATACTATCATAATATTGGAATTCACTTAAGCTAAACTTTTACTTAAATTCTACAATAACTAAACCATAAGTGACTCAAGACACTTTTCACTTAAGCCATTACAGTTAACTACTACCAACGAACAGTTAAATAGTGTCTAGTTCATGTTATATCACTGACAATTTAAACTCACATTTATTGCATCTTTTTATGTTAACTTCTGTATTAACTTTCAGAGGTTAACACCTCAGCAAAAAATGACCTAAACTCCTTACAGTTATGACTCAAAGTAAATTAACAACATAAATAACACCAATATCACTAATAACTCTCCAAAGATTAATCAACCCCGAGCAAGTTCTAACACATACCCATATCTTGTCACGTTGTAACAGTGTTAATCCCTATGAGAGATTAATCCATTGTTTATATCTTCATTTCAATCTACTCAAAATCCACAAAATTAGATAAGTATCACATTCCTTACCTTACCTGTCTAAACCATATTTCCATTTACAGTGGAGGATTACGTGATAAGTTACCAATGGAGTGTAAGGATAAAGTATTGTAGTATAGGTGTATATCGGTACCTTTGTAAAATATATGTTACCAATGCTAAGTTCTGGGTGTCAGTAAAACAACTTGGTAAATTAGATAGTATTTGATCTATATTATCCACATATCCGTTATTGTTTGTATACCAATATTGTTTATGTATACCTTCACTGTCTATATGTATATCTTCACTGGTCTATGTATACTGTCTGTATACCTTCATTATCTGGACTGCTTATGCACATTTTGGTTTATATCTGGTCTGTCTCTGTAGAGGCAGAGTCAATGTGAACTTGTCTGAAGGTTTTACTATCTATCATCTATAGGGTAGAGGATAAGGCCACGAGAGGCTAAGAACTTATAAGACCAACTGAAATTTGAAGAAAAAATCAAAATTGAAGACAGAATTCAAGATGGCCGACAAATTTATTGAAAATGTGTAAAAAATTACGGTAATTATGTATAACTATTCACAGAATGCTAAAATTATTAAGTAACCAATTAAAATATAATCTATAAAATAAAATTACATTTATATTATTAAATTAATTCTGTACATGTAATTAAGATCAACTGATAATTAAAATTCACATTTATCGTTTTTCTTAGAAACTGTTTCACAAAACTTTTCATTGTTTAAAGACTAACCTAAGCAGACAAAAAAGGTGGCACGCTAGAAGATGACTACAAATCCATTCACATTATGACAAACACGACAGCACGTAGTTTTGACGGCGAGATGTACAACAATAACAACAGATTGTTGGCATGTGTAGAAAGTATTATACCAGCACAGTTGGTATAACCTGAGGGTGACTCCATAGTCACTGATGGGTCACGTCTCGCATATCATGAGGCCAGGGAATTTACCTTCAAGAACTATGCAGAAACACCTTGAAGGGAATGTCAACAATTATGCTAGTTAGCACATGGGAACAGATGTTGTTTTTGATAATTACAGACCAATAATATCATTCACTAAACTAGCAAGACGGAGAGAAGCAAAATAAATTAATAAAGAGGTTTTGTACCCACTCCTGGCAGACAGTTTAAAGAAAGTAGCGAAGAAAAATTTAGGTTTTGCTTCCAGAGACGAATCAGCTGACTCTAACTCAGATGATGACTCCACCTCTGTTCCTTGTGACCTGAGGAGGCAGACACTCGACTGTGTGTGTTCATAACCCAAATGTGTCTAGAACAATGATGTAAAGCTTCTGCCATTTATCATGATACAGATACTGTAGTGAGGAGCAACTGTGTTCCATAAACTTTACGAGGAAGGTTGCTTTTATACCACCTGGAACACGCAGATGGTTACCTATTGAGTTGAGAGGCTTGGGTAAGAACGATACAAAGGTCTACTATTCTTCCATGCGTTTAGTGGCTGTGACAAAGTGATAGGATTCAAAAGCAAAGGCAAGAAGACATTTTCTCAAACAGAATAAATTTCTCGTATTTCCTGTATTTGTACTCCTCAGCAATTGCCCGACTAAACAAATATTTAAAAGCACATTTACAACTCTCCAAAAATGTACTGTCTTAGCATACGATAAAGCTAAAACAAACTGAAGTTGACTAAGTTGACAAAGTTGACAATTTACACATATGGTGCAATCCCTCCAACAGAGCATTCCCATAAGCAGCACAACCCTCCAGCGGTACACCAAGCAGGCTGTGTATAGGGTCTAGCCCTCAAACCCACTACACCATTGTCATCTTCAGGTGAATGAGGCTGGAAAAAGGATCTGATAGCACTTGGTGTATTAACTGGACTAAGTAAAGCCTCTATGGAACTCGAAAGATATGGCTGGGGAAGTGTGTATATTAGTCGGTATGCCATCAAGGTGTGTAATGTATATCACGATTAACACACCTACACTTTACTGGTAGCTGTATATGAAGTATATTTCTACTAAATACGATATGTACAGCCCCTTTCTCTTGTAACAATTATGCAGTGAGTTGTTTTGTAAGTACATGTAGTTTAAATGTTGAAATGTTTTACTTTCATCAGTATAAACATAAATTTGACTTATATTCTA